ATTTACATCACGTGACCTGTCATGGCGTCAAAATACGTTTTATTATTTAACAGATAATAAATAGGTATTAACACCAGTCACAAAAAATATTCTTCATTCACAAAAATGTAATAAATAGTAAATATCAAATATTTATTGTATTTAATATATTTGAAATAAGACAAAATTTTCATATTTCTATATCATAATTGTTCATATTAAACTATACTGTTCATTGTAGCGATGACGCTGGTCACCCCTTGCATTGTGTGAGCGGTGAGGAGCAACACTTTGGCTCTCAATGTAACGAAGGAGAATGAATGTTGGCGGGCTTTTCAAACATGCAAGCGGGAAATCTTAAAACTTAAAATATTTATTTAAATAATAATTGTTGATATAAAAAATAGTTGTAGATAATAAAGTAAAGTATATATAGTGTAAAATATGTTTGAAACTCCGGGGGACACTCCTCCGACGACCGTGGGGCCTGTGGGCCTCCACCCCCTAAAAGACACTATTCCGGAGGCTTCGCGAAAGAATAGTAGTGAAGACAACGATAAGTACTATAAACCACGTGTATTCCATGAAAGTACCAGCAAGGGTGAGTACTCTGTTTTTGTTGAAAGCATAAAAGACACTAAATTTGGGAACCAGAATCCACTAACACTTGTCAGTTTATTTAAAAATGAAGTGAAGGGTGTTAAAAACATTAAACGAGTCAACGCAAATAAAGTTGCGGTATTGTTTGAACAAATGGTAAATAGGCCAGTACAGAAGCCTTTAAAATTAATGAAAAGTGAAAATAAATTATAATAGAATGAAACTCATTAGAAAAGGAGGGGAATATTATAAAAATTAAAGGAAAAATTATTTACGGGCGATCTGAGGTCGGGTAGGGTATGGGGATGGGTATTTAATGGTAAAAAATGGATTTTCTCGATTTCCGGCAAAACTACAAGTCCTACGGAAAAATGTAATATGGCAACGTTGTAAGTAATAAAAAGACCTAAAACTTTTGTACTACCATTTTTTTCACATAACCTCAAAATTTATGGGAAAAATTCAAAAAACCTAGTTTTTTGTTTTTTATTTTTATCTCTTCCAAAAAACAATTTTTTGTCACGAAATTTGGTAAAAAGTTTCCTTTTGATGTTACAAATGCACTGTAATTTATTTGATTAGAAATATTTATTTTTTCAGCTTATTTTGAATAAATACCGAAAAATCAGCCTTATTTTCAATCGAAAAATGACCCGTCAAAATATCAGCTATTTTCAAAAATTTGGTTTGTTTTTAATTTGTTGAAATCTCTATTTTCTGATGGTGAAGAAAAAAATATAAGTTTCTTACTTGCAGTACTATTTATGGATAAAATAATCACGTCTCTTTTAATGAAATGACACTCGACATCGTTTTGAAAATGCTCTTTCTAATTTATTTTTAATAGTTGTGTACTCTGGAAGTTCTCTAGATAGTCCCTCTTTTAGGTAATTTACAGAAAATTGACATTAAGCTGCTAAATCTATTCAAAATAAATTGAAAGAGCATTTTCCAAACTACATCTTTCACGACAAAAAAATGGTAGGACAAAAGTTTTACACAGTTTTATTACCTACAACGTTGCCATATTACATTTTTCCGTAGGACTTTTAGTTTTGCCGGAAATCGAGAAAACACATTTTTTACCCTCAAATACCAGATATCCCGTAAATTATTTTTCCTTTAATTTGTATAATATTCCCCTCCTTTTCTAATGAGTTTCATTCTACTATAATTTAATTATGTTTTAAAAGCTATCGGCACTGGTCTAAAATGCCAATGCGTTTTTAAAAAAATTTTCACACTAAAAATGACTTAAAAGCTTTCATACCAGCCAGGGCCGTGGAAAGGTCTCTGAAGGGCTCTGAAGGTGTGCCACAATATCTTCAGACACTGCTGTCTACGGAGAAATATTTTTACCCGTTATTTAAATTTATTACGAATACTGTTGAAACTTTATAATACCTAAATAATACAAAGTGATTTAAAACCTGTGAAAAACAATAACGGATTTTCAGTGTACTTTTCAAATTAACTGTCATACTTAGACAATGATAATTTGTAACGATAAGTAAAATACGTAAAAACATTTACAAAAAAAAATGTGAGCGGTGAGACGGGAAAGGATATATTAAGTGACTAGTAACAAGTCAGTTATTTAATACACATGAGATGTTTCGTATTTGAGAACAAATAAAACACTGTACATAACCAAAATTAATATCCGCGTTAATTAATGTAACGACTAAAATGTTATAATTTTCAAGCTTATCGAAATAAACTTTTTAAAGTAGTAAATGAATATACCAGAGTATGATTTTTCTTAAGTAAAATTATTTAAATATTAAACGTCAAGATAAGTATACATTAATGGTAAAATCGAAATACGAAATACATAGTATTAAATAAAAGAATTTAAATATAAATTACATATATTTCTAATATTAGTTCAAAGCTTACCATTTTTCGTCTACAGTACAGTGTTCTTTTAAAATAAATCAAAACCATAATTAAGAACTATAATATATTATTAGAAAGTAATACTTTTTCACCTAACTATGTAAATCTACCCTCGAGTGAATGAGTTGTCAGCTGAGTAGGTATTTAAGATAAAGATAAACAGTTGATGAGACTGGGTTTATTAAAGTAGAGTACTCTATTATAATAATTGAAATATTTTGATTTGAACTAATTCATAAGGAAACACATATTTGATTCGACGACCTGTTCTCAAGAGTTGTGTCCACGAAGTCTATTTAATATAGGTACAACAAAATTCTGAAAACAGGAAATTTTTCATCAAAATAAAAAATACCAGAGGTTGTATCATAATTTTTTTTATAAAACAGGGAAACTTTTTGTACGAGCCGTCCAACCGGCCTTGGTGGGGCCGGAAGGGATGTGTGAGGCTCGGCCTGGGCAGGACCATCACTAAAACCACAAAGCCAGCAGAGGTTGCACCAATCACAAATAGGTGACGTATATAATAGCGAGAAATATAAAGAGTTTTAGAAGCATAAGTTTTTTTGTTCTTTGGTTGTTATATTAATGATATTAAAACACGAAACAACGCGTTAATTTACGTTAGAGGCAGATCATAATATATCATAAATACACATTTTCTAAGTTTTTGTAGGAGTCATGACATATATTCACAAGAACTTAACATCTATTAGCTGTTCTTCACTAATTTTCATTAAAAATTATAAATTTGCCTGTTATGAAGTTTAAACGAAACTAATATTTTCGGATTTACTACGCGATTTTTTATTTTTTGATCGTTTCGGCTACTTTACAGCAACCGTGATCACTTACATGTCGTCTGCCCGTGTAATCGAGTATCCGTATAAATCGAGTAATAAAAAATCTAGTAGTAAATACGAAAATATTAGTTTTAATTAAACGAGTGCTCGCGAAAATCTTAGATCTCATTGTTGTGAAGTTTGTTCTGGAGTTCCCTTCGCTCCATAGCGTTTTCAACTTTTTAAAAGGAATTAAAGGAATATTATTACGCAGATTTTGTTCTTTGAAGACGATTTGAAACATATTAAATGAACTAATATACAATATCACATTCTCATTAATCAAGATTTTTACTTTTAAATACTTACAAGTGATGTAAAGTTTTTGTGTAAAGAAATTTTGTTTCTAAGTAGATAAACTTCCTCTCAATTTCGGTGATTTATTCTATAATAATTTATTTATGTCGGGTGTCGAAGATTACTCTGTACTCTAAATTAACATGTTTATCACACTTAAAAAACATAAAGACCAAGTTAAAATAATAAGTTAAAAATAAACAATGTTTGTGTGCGAAGTAGCACCAGAGGATAGTAGTAGTATAGTAGTAGAATAGATAGAATTAAAGAGGTTCTCACAACATTCGACCTACTTACATGAAGGTAAAAAACAAATTGGCAACTACTGAGGTCAATCAGCTTCGTAACACGTGCTAGCGACATCCGGTGACAACATGACATATATTTATAATATTTATTAGAATATTAACTTACCAATTAACAATAAATATCCCCATATTATTAAACTGACATCTTTTGTATTTAACCGTAAAAATACGTCCTCTAATAATATAAAAATTAAGGTATTATATATAGTTTACGGATAATATAATACAGCTTATGTTATAATAAGTGTCTTTTTTCATTTTTGTTTCACTATTTAAGTATTGTGTTAAGTATTCATTTTCGAGAATTCTACTCGATCTTACATTGCTATACAAAGTTATCACAAAATATTTCGATTGCCCGCATTTGGTTAGGAAAATATTTTATTACACCAAGAGAAGAACCTTTTTCATACTAGACTATTTTAAACCAATTACAGAATTATATTTAATTTGTAAAAATTATATTAAATAGAGGCTTCTAAATTAAAAAAGGATATAGAGATCTTAAGACTTATTACATATTATACAATTTATTATGAATTTATTAAATATCAGAAACATACTTATATGTTAAATAACAAAACGTTAAAACTTCATAATAATCTTTATTATTATAAAGGTCTTATAATAATTATCTATACTTAATTCAAATCATATTATTCAATGTTAAATATATCTTATTTTAATTGTGTTTTATTTATTTTTTTGTTATTCAATTTAATGTTTATAATTTTTTGACCGCGTTCTTATTATTTATGTAGCTGCCGTTTAGAAGAGTCGCAAGCTTTTGTATTATGTGGCAAGCGTGTTTATAAATGTAATGTTGATGGTCTTTCAATAAATACATATTATTTAAATTTCCCTCTCTATATCCTTCTAATATTAATATATGAATCCGCCAAAGTGCCCAGCAGAAGTTAGATTATTGTCATTATTTTACAGTCATAAATCAAAGAGTACATTTAAAATATTACTTCTAATCAAACCAAAATGAAACACTTATTCCATGTTGCAACTTTCTTTACTATAAGCTTAATTATTTACGTCATATTAAAATATAAGTTCCCGTAATTATCTAGTAACCATAATAACGTCGGTACGGTCCCATATAACGGAACGGATTGGGTCTGTTACATACTCGACACTGCTTCCTCATGTGGTTGGGACAGAGAGGATTACCTTCAAATTGCTTCTTGCTTCTACTGATACATGAACATCTAGGTTCATTCTCATCTGTTATCGGTTCCAAATTAGCTTTCGGCTTGTTCTCCCCCACTAGATTATTAGAATCTGTATAAGGAGGACTTAGTAACACAATGGAAGGTCTGCGGCAATTTTTGTTGCATCTACTGTTAATATGTGGCGCATTCTGAGTGAATTGGGACATCGGGTCCTGAGGCAGACTGCGTATAGAGACATCGTCGATATTTTGTTTTGAAGTCGTTCGTTCTAACATTGATAACGGCCTACACGGCTGTTGTTGTATGACGTCTCTGTTCTCTGAAGTGAATTGCGATGGACGGTAAGAGTTGAAGGTATATTTTTGGACATCAGGAACCTTTTGATTTCTACAACAATCACTACACGTGTGTCTTGATTGTTGGGAGCTCTGATTAGATAAAGCTGGATATGGTATTGCCGGTTGCTGGCTTTCATCCGTCTGTTGGGAACAAGAACTTGGACACTGGGGGCGTATTGATAAGTTGGACTGTCGCAAGTTTGCTCCCAGACCCCTTTGTTGCATGGAATCCCTATCAAGTAATTGGAAATCCTGGCCAATGCTGTTAGTGATTCTGTTCGTATCTGCAGTCATAGGGACGTCTCTCTTTAAACCAATGGAGCCACCTAAATTTTGGTTCGATCTTAAACTATTGACTTCACCATTGTCATTAGGTATGATTTGAATGGTTTCATTCTTTCTTGTTACCGAGGAAGTTAGAACTCCTCCCTCTCTAAATTGTTTGTAACTCAATTCTGATTGATTGAGACTACGATCAAAACCTTGTCCGAGCGCTCGAGGACTCACAATATTGTCTGTACTTTTTGTATAGTGTGTGGGTTGTATGGCGCCACGGTAATTTGAACCTCTCGCTCCAGATGTTTCTGATAATAATGACATCCATTGTTGATCTTCATTATTTTCCTTATTTACACCTCGTTCTACGCTATTTTGATTATTAATACTCATAAGATTGTCATTACTCCAAACATCGTTATTTGATAAACTCATATTTTGGTTACTGGAGTGTGGTAGCTGTGGAAATTTAGGATTTTCCGTCGTTTCCAACCTTTTGATAAATGCATCAACTTTTTGAGGATCGATTTCTTCTAGAACTTTATGTAGATTTTTCATTATTTCATTTTTAATTTCTTCATGATTATTTTTAAAACCATCTTTCTTAAAATCACTCAATCGTTTAGCTAGAGTGTATTTCACTTGACTCTGTAGCGGCTGCTTATTTTCGTCATCAGCGATGGGTAACTCTTTAAAAAAAACGTTCACTTCAAACTTCATTAGTATTTCATTTACTTCGTCTGATATAGCATCATCACTCGGTGTCGGTACTTTAGACAATTCATTCATCAATTGATTTCCTTTCTCTACTGGGTCAGTTCCAGGATCACTAGACAAACTTTCTTTCTCTAAAACATATCTTTGCACAACTCTCTGTAACATTATTTTATATACATCACGATTGTTTTCATTTCCTTTAGAAAATTTGTAGACAATAAAATCATCGACAATTTCATCTCTCAATGTTCGTAACAAAGCACCTTTTGTTGGCGGCACATTGTGGGGTTGTCCTAAAACTTCATCCGTAGTATTTTTAAGAACTTGTTTGTACTCGTAACGTGATTTTTCGTTCTTGATTAGGGGTTTAATAGATTTTATAGAATCTTTGAATTGATTTATTAATAAATTTTTATTTTGTTGTAGTTCAATCGAAGTGGGTAATGTAGACATTAGTTCTTCTATTTCATCATCAAGCAATGAATCATAAAGAACATCATTCTCAAAGGCTTCCGAGTTTAAGTTTAATTCACTAATTTTAATTATTAATTTTACGATAAGATTGTCCCTTATGGTTTTTGCATTATCTTTATCCTGTTGACTATTTTCTGGTAGTGGTAATTGTTGACACCACTTTTCTATGGTTTCCAGGAGGAGGTCAGTTGGTTTCCCGCCTTTTTTACAACAACTTCGAGGAATTTTAGGAGACGATGATGAAGTTGGAGTGAACCAAGATGTCCTGTCACTGCTAGGTAAGGCTGGTGGACTTGTAGCTACGATCCCTTTGTTATTATTTTTATCTAATAAAAATTCTTCGAGTGTCACATTCCGGTCTGATAGTTTACATGTCCTTTCATTTTTGGATAATATTAATCCTTGTAGAAGTGCACTTGTTAATTGATCGAAGCTATATCCATGGTCCGGTAATATCGGTAATTTCATCAGCCATTTATTTATTTCTTTTTTGATTTTATCATTAGGGTCGTCGCAACTTTTTTCGAACGCATGTATTCTTTTAGCTAACATGGATATAATTTGTTCACGCTCAAGTAATTCTTCAACGCTCGCAGCTTCCCTTATTGGCAAACTTTCAAACCAAACTTCAATGATACAACGAGTTTTAATTTCTTCAACTTCTCTTGCAATTGAATTTTCATTTGGAACAGGGACAGAGAACAGAGAGCTGTACAGTTGATTAAACAATTGATCCTTAGTCAATGACACAGAGTTAATATTTTCCACGTTTTCGAAATTATTATCAATTTTATTTCGTATTTTTCTTATGCAATTAATTTTAAAATCATCGTGAGCGTGGTCAAAATTTTCTAAAATAAATAATTGTGCTAACAGGCTTTTATAAATATTGAAACCGGGACAGTCTTTTTGATGGAAGAAAACAGGATTAGGTAAAGAAATTTCAATAGTTTTTTCTAGTTCCTGTCTATATTTCAAGCCGGCTGTTTTTTCTCTAATCACGTTCCTGCTTTCATTTATTTTATTCAACAATTGTCTTTTTAACATTTCTCTTGAATGTTGTAGTTGAGTATTTTGCGGTAGATCGTTTAAACCTGAATCTATCTCTTCTTCTAACAGCTGCAGATAAGTAATGTTATTGTCAAAGCAATCAGGCATTTTGTTTAGTTCATTAATTTTCTTATATAGTCTTGTACTAAATTCTTCTTTTAAAGTTCGTTCCATAGAAATGGTATCAGCATGTATTGGTAAATTGTTGCACCATCCCTCAATCGCTTCAACGATTTCTGTTCCAGGATCCAGTTTTTCGAAATCTTTTGTTAAAGGATTTCTTTTACAACACGGTGAAAGGGATTCGCAAATGGATTTTGGGTTATCGCTAAAGCTTGGTAACACCGCAGATGGTTCATCTATACCATTATTAACTCTTTCCATTCTATTCCAAATTTGTTGAACAACAACGGGCATCACAATATCCTTTTTGGGATCAAGAGGTAATTCTTTAATCCATGTCTTTATATAATCTCTTAATTTGTCATCGACTTGACTATTGTTTGGATCGACATTTTTTATTTGCCATCTTTCAGTCATTTTTTCAGTTAAATTGCTTATCATTGTAACGATTACGTCTTTTGTATCCTTGATTGCCAGTAATGGTAAATTATTCAAAAAATTACTTATCTCTTTAGCATAATTGAGTTTAAAATTGAAGCGTTTGCCTAATTCTTCAGTTTGTTGCGACATTTCTGATAATCTGTTATATACTTGAGACGTACTTAAGCTTGTAGGATTATCTTTAGCCATATTATCTACTTCTTTGTAAATTCTTAAGGAGCAGGCGTCAAGTTTCAGTTCATCATCACCGATGACGTCGCTTTTGTCTCGTATGTACTCCTCGATAAAGTCACTCATATTGTGTTCTGGTACACTGCTAACGTTTAAAGATGCTTCATTTGTAAATGCACAACATTGTGGAGAAGATTGAAGTTCATCAATATTACTGACTAAATTATCGATGAAGTTGGTCATGTTCTCTTTATATAGTTCGTCTATAGGCAATATTTCTGTGTGTTGCATAATTCTTGATTTCAGTTGTTGATAATAATCATTGGATTGAGAACTACTTTTTTCCGTTTCATTAATCATTTTTGCTAAATCTATAATCCATTGCGCACGTTCTTCGTTTCCAGACACATTGAAAGAACCTTCTACAGGTAGTTGTTTGAGCCAGTCCGATATAATATTAATGAGCTGCAACTCATTATATAATTTTTCTAAACCTATATTGTCATCCTCCGTATTATTTAAGTTTGTATAGACTTCTCGCCTGCTTGGTGTACTTAACTTCTGAAGTTCCTTTTTTAATATATGTCCAAACACTTCTCTAGTCAGAGCGTTATCTTCATCATAGTTGTGTTCAATATATTTGGAAATGAATTCCTTTAATACAGCTTGGAGTTTTAAAGGCTGATCATGAGATTCTTCCTTCCCATTTGCATTCTTACCAAGAGGAGACATTTTATTAGATCCGGACGATGTTTCCGTTTTCTTTACATATTGCTTATTGTTGGTTTTAGAAAAACTTGGAAGAGAAACCTTTTTCAGTTCCTGTATTAAGTTTTCAACGTACGGCTGTGCGTCAGCTATATTATGAAACCAATTTAATCTGTTGAGCCACCGGTTGATAAAAAATGATAAAAATTTGTCTTTTTCAGCTCTAGTCTCCGGGACTAACTGTTCTAATTTAACTTGATCTAAGATGTCGTAAGCTAGATTATTAATGATAGTGTTTTCATTTTTCTTGTTTTCCAATTTTGCGCCTCCAACAGGCAAAGCGTTCACCCAAGTCTTTAATACCTGTGATATTCTATTAACATATTTTTTTTCTTCCATTGTTATGTGCTGACTGTTTGCGCTTAATTTTCTTTTTAAAGTTGGTAGAACGGTGTTAGGTCCACGTATTTCTTGTTCAGATTTGTAGATAGAAATAAAACTTTGTGTTCGAGTCATATTATTATTAAAGCAGACAAAATTGTATGCTGTAAGATATTTACTAGTGGCTTCGGTTCTTATTTGATCTAATATGTTGCTAGTCAAAGTGGAAATATTGTAGTCTGATAGGTCAGTACAAAATTTTAAAATATTGAATATGTGTATTTCTACGTAGTAATCTTGACGCATGCAAATAAACTTAATGTTCTTCAAGATAATATTTATAATGTCTGTTGCGATAGAAGTTGAAATATTAAAGTTTAGTAATTGCTCTCTAACAATTTCTTGCACTAGATGTTGATAGGGTTCTTCTTCATCACAGTCCCAAGAGTTCACATCGTCAGCAGAGTCTTTGAAACAGGAAGTATAAGACATTGAATAAACTTCTTCGTTACTGAATTTAGCGCTCAGTAATTTAACGGCAATTTTTTCTGATAATCGATTGAGATATGTATAGTTTTCAGGAGACAAAAATAACTTATCTGCATAATCGTTTAAAAAATTAAATATCTCAGCTTTGAGCATTAGTTTGTAATTTGCTGTAGTTTTTGAATGTAACAATTCTTTCAAACGATTGTTGAGAGCGTCAGTCATAATAATTTTTTCATTTTTGTCCAAGTTCCTATGAATGTCGTCGATCCAATTGTATATCATTTCTTTATAAATTTTATTTTCAAGTTTTTTATTTTGCTGTTTGTTATATTTCGTATTAGGTTCTTTAGCTGTTTTCTTGTAGAAAGGGTAAATTTTTGAAAGGCTTCTACGGTTGTCCGAATCCTCTCTTGTTGTATAATATTCCAGAGTATTAGTAGATTTCTCTTTTAAATTACTTTCATTACTTTGTTCTTTATTCCCTGCAGTAGTATGACGTTTGATATTATTATTTAAATTATAGATTTTCTCTACAAGTGCTTCTTTTAATTGGTCCAAATATCCTTTATTTTCTAATAACTTAGACAACATCGGTAATGAATCTATAAATTTATCTATTTCCATTGACAGTTTTTCGTCATAATAATCTTCATTTACTTCAGAATACATTTCATTTAACTTTTCAATGAGGTCGTTGACAATGTTCTGTTTTATATTTTCTGAACTAGCATTTGAATATCGTGGTAATTTTTTAGCCCATTCAAATATTATATCTTTGAGACCTTCCCTATATAACAATTCTTTCTCAGTTCTTTCTGTCACATTTTCTTTGAGATCTGTTGTTGATGTCTGTTCATTGGAGCTCATCGTCAGGTCATTGCTTAAAGTCCCTGTTCCAGACTGAAATAATAACAACTTAAAAATATATATTATGCTGTTTAAGTAAAAAAATCAGATACATATACAATATAAAATAAGAAAGTCATTGATAGGAACAGGATTATAATCTACGGTTATAGGAATGCTTCAAAACAACTGGAAAACCATATTGTTGGTGACAAGTTAGAATTCTATTCCTTCAGGAACATGGAACATTGATGTAGACAAATGTTTAATTCCATATTTGGAATTTTAATTTTTGAATCAAACGTTACTTTAAAGTTAAAAAAAATATTATGCGTGACTTTTTAAAAATATTGTAAATATGTTAACTTACAGATTTTCTAAATTTATTGTATTGTATTTTTTCTTGATTGCTGCTCGAGTCGTGTGTCTGTATGTGAAGCTCGAGTCTCTGTTTGATGATAGGGCACAAATCTTCCGTACAAGACTTGAAACATAAATCTTTTAAATATATTTGTATAATAATACCACATAAAAATACTTATCAGTCTTACCACGCATGATTTTATTTTCTCCTTAATGTTACGTATACTTTCCATATGTAATAAATTTATTAAATCCGTAGAACAGTCGAGAGAGGACTAACTCATACAAAGGTATCAAATCCTAAATCGTAACAAATATTCATATTTTGTAATTTAATTTAAAACATGTCATGTTATTTTCGTTGTCTTTAGGACTGAGTACAATTAGGATGATTGTTTATTAACTTCTAATAATTTTCGATTTCATGTTTAGTCACTTTTTATAATTGAGTTGAGCTTAAAACTGTTATTTTTGTGATAAATCCATTATTTCATTAGAAAATGTTATTTAGTGTGATTTGACAATCTGAAAGAATCTATGGAATAACTAAATATTTAATATTTAATGCCAGCTACACACTTGCACAAGTACACGTATTTCGAAGGATAGGACAGATAGCTCATATTGCTTGCACAATTTTAATTTCAGTGATACTTGTTCAAGTATATACAGCGAGCTACTTATGCTGAGGATAAGTAGTAGCAGTAGGCTTTATTTTAGCGACAAAAAAAAACTGAAAATTTAGAAGAAATACCGAATTGTATGGACTAAAGGTTGGTTAATTATTTTGCCCCTGCTGTGGTACTCTTTACTGTTTATTTGCCAAATAGATATAATTTCATAGAGCTAACTGCATGTCTCTCGAAACAATTATTTATTTTAGCCTAAAAATGGCTAAAACAATACTCAAACTTACAAGAAATGCATTGCTACCACACGAATTCATGTTAACTAAGGCATAATTTCTCAAACAATATTGCTCAAGGTCGCGTTTTAATTTGGAGCTTTTTCAAGAACTATGCATGTATGAAATTTACGCAAATTTTCTTTCAATACGTTGTACAAGTTCTGACTTGTACAAGTATATTGTAACGTGTGTAACCAGCTTAATACAGATCTTGTAGAAATTGTGTAAGGTTACTACTGGCCATTTGAAATAAAATATTCTTTAATGTCATAAATTCAGTTCAGTATTCGAACAAAGAAGATGAAAAGAGGACACTAAATTTTCCGTTTTGCTAATTTTAAGGAATTAAAGTTAAATTATTGAAAGAAATGTAAATATATGTAAAGGTTTAATTATAATAAGATTATTTAGAGTTACGTTAGCTGTATTGATGTAGTTTTCGTTTCATATTAAATTGACATCTCGTGCATACTTTACTTTGTTTTACTTTTAATAATTTTTCTCATATGTTTAATATTCCAGGCCTGTACACAACTACGAACACTACAAATGTTACCAGCCTGATCGCTGCTATTCTTCTTCTCGCGTCCTGAAAATGATCGTAACTAATTACATCTTTATATATATAATTCTTCTGTGAGTGTGTATGTCACTGAACTTCTCTCAAACGATTGGACGGATTTTGATGAAATTTTTTGTGTGTTCAAGGGGATCTGGGAATGGTTTAGATTCACAATTTTGTTCACTGGACAATGTTTTTTTAATTAATTTTTGATTTATTAGTAGTTGTTGATACAAACGTTTTTTTGATATTAGATTTTACAACTAACTAATATGTCAATCATTCTGTCGCACTTCAAAACACGGAGAATTATAGCTTTAATAGGTAAACTCCAAAAAATATAAATAAAAAAACCTAACAGATATTCCTTGATCGAACGAAGTTCGTCTGGTCTTCTAGTATCTTTCTATAATCCTCTCCTCTAACTATAATATTTATTTTCCCAGTACATTCCCGCTGCCAACGAATTGTAAGAATAAGTTGAGATCTCAAAATTTTCCAACTAAGTCTTCGATGCTTGAACAATAAGTAAGTTGTAATAAGTTGTCTGTTTTGGTGTTGATAATAATAATAATAATATTTTTTTGGTTAAAAGGAGTATTTATAATGGAGGGTGAAGGTATGGTAGCCGTAGTACGTGGTCTACGGGACGCGGGGCTCGCTGTGACGCTCATGGACGCGGGGAGACAATATACATTAGTACCAGATATGGGTAAAATATCTTTATTAATAAAGAAATATTAATATTTCAAGTAATAGACTCATGGTTCCGCTATGTATGTAGTGTCCTAACTGAAAGAAAGAATTTATTTGGGACCGTACAAAAATGATGAAATATCAGTTATTTCAAAATCCAAAAAGGCAACTTATAACATTTAAAAAATAATAATAATTATAATGCTATTACAATATACATATATATAATATTATCCAAATAGGTATACTATTCAGCAATTAATAGGCGTACTGCCATATTATAGTCTAGTATCTATCATTTTTTCCTTATTTTTCGTTGTTTTGTAGGATCTCAGCCTAAAGTGAACGCTTGTCAGACGACTGGGTCCCAGTGTTCATGTGAAATGAGCCGAGAAAATGGTGTTCAAGTAACTGATGGACGATACGCGAGTATGTATAAAGTATGTATACTTGATATATTGGACTTTAATATATTGAAAATAAAATAAAATAAATAAATAAAAAAGCCTGTATCTGTCACAAATGTTGAGTATTACATAAATGTTAATAATAAGTACGAGTATATTATTTATCGTTATTTGTTAATATTTCTATTACTTAATTAAAATTAGTATAATATACTAAAGTGTGAGAACCATTTTTATAGGTAGGTATAGGCCTCCTACAAATTTTGTTTGCTTGTTTCAAAGAAGGCTTACATAAAACTATTAATTTCGTCTTCACTTGGGGCATAAACTTGTATTATGGATAAATTTCTGATTTCAAATTTCATGTTTAGTATTGCTACTCTCTCCGAAAGACCGGTGTAACTTTGTATGTTATTTTTATATATGGATTTTATTATAAAACATACGCCAAACCTGCCTGGCGTATGTCCCGTGTAACATAAAATAGAATTTCCATGTTCTTCAATATTATTACCAACTTTACTTTCGCTAGGCCTCCTATGTCGTATTTAATTTTATTGAGGGCTTCGTTTTGCTCCAGTAAGCTTGCATACGATGAAAATGATTTGACGTTATATGTCAATATACAGGGTGACTGGTGAATTACTATCGATACTTGAGGACGTCATATTTGACGATCATATATGACAAAATAAAAATTAATATAACATAAATATTAATAAACTTCTAAGTAAAGTTAACCAAAAGTTATGTAATTAATTACGCATCGTGTGAACACCCTACAGATTAGGTATACACACACACTCACACATACGCGTGCGCGGCGTGGTGTTGTATCAGCACGCCGCCGCACGCGTCCACACTTAGAACACTTGGAACGTGTCAACACTTTATTTATTTATACGGAAATTTTGTCAAAAATTAAGTGCCTATTTTTTTTACATAATTCGAATGAGAATCATGTACTGAGTATTCTTCTTAAATATTGATAGTAATTCACCAGTCACCCTGTATAAAGTTTATTTATTAACAAAAAACTTATTAAGTTTTTTGTTAAGATAGTATTTTTGATATCCTCCATCTGCATAACTTTTAACAAGTTTATATCTTCCATTTCGCTTAAAAATATAATAGTTTCTTGATTTTGATAATGTTTAATATATTTATGTGCCCTCTTGTGGCGAGTGGTGGTACTACTTGGTCGACTTTGTCGATCGTCCTACGCTTTGAGTTCAGCTATCTGCTAATAGATGTCGCTAGTACGTCAATCTCGTGAGAGACGATTAGCAATTTTTCTATAGTTAATCTAAATAATGTCTGTAGGAATTTTTCACTTATTTTCATTTCCACACACACAGAAACGCCTAAAGTGTCTTTTACTAAGTTATTGTTTTTCACTGCTTGTATTTGATGGGTTCTTAACGTTTAGTACTGTAATGTATTTTGAGCCGTTAACACGTAACAAAGTATTTTGAGTTTTTCAATAGTTTCTTCACTTTCACTTGTATACTTCACTTTGTCTCGGTGGATTTGATGTTTTTTAATAATTAGTAATTATTTACGAGTTACCTTCAACTAATGTTGTCCTTATCCTTGTCAAGGTGTATCAAATTATTTGTATATTAATTTAATTATAAATTTCTTTAACTTTTATTAATATCTGTATTTGTACTTTTCATAAGATGGTACACTGTCACATTAGCCCGACTTCTCCTCCAGAGCTTGTCACTGAGTTTCCTCCACAAAGAGCTGAATTATATCCAGGTGAGGAAATTAATTTCATATTTATTTAACACTTTTTTGTACACCATAATTACAATACAAACAATTACAAAAAAAAATACAAACTAAAAAACTAAAGGCATAGTAAATATAGGATATTTAGTATAGATTATAATGACAATTTAGACTCAATGTGTCATATATATGAAGTATTTAATTTGAAAATACCATTTTCATTTCAAGGTCACGGGAATTTCGAAGTTGGCGGTCTGGGTAGTGGGGAGAATCATTTACCGAGCAAGTGTAACGGATTTAGAGGAGGAATGTGTTGGGCAGATCGAGGTATTGTTGTATTATTATTATTTTACGAGTATGGTTAAAATAACAAACCTATATTTAATTCCACATTCAAAAACACATTACACATGCCACAAAAATAAACTAATTATTAAAAATAAAGTTTAAAAGATCTGTAAATTTATTTTCGTTGCAAGTGTGTCTTTAATCATATCCCTTAATTTCATTTTCTTGTTAATATTTATTGATACTTTTATAAGTCTGTACTTTTCACGGTTCAATGGTTTTTACTTAAAAAAAGAAGTATATATATTTTACAGCTAATTCCTTACATTAATTGTTTCTTTATATAGCATTGGATCATTTTAAGAAATAATTATAAATACCTATATTGTATGGAGTTGATCGATTGACATTTCACGTCGACACATTCACAAAACTTATTAGATATAGGTAATATTTTAAAAAAATGTGAAAAAAATATGTATACAACAACAAAAAAGAATAAATAATAATAATAATCTAAAAACAGCTATATAAAAAAGAAACTTTATTACCAAAAAAAAGTTGTGACATGACATATTATTGAGAATGGAAATGTTTTTTTAATTTTACTTTTATAGAAACTCAAACTATCATTAAATGTCTAGGTATTTTATTTAATTAATACTTAAATGGTATATGTTTTTAAACAGGAGCCGTTTTCAGTCCTCGCCCGTCTGTACAAGACGATCTATTTGCTAACTCTCTTCGAAAGTATCCAAGTCTACTACAAGATAGATCTTCAGAAATGGTTGAGAGACTCATTAATTTCACTCAAACTAAAAACAGTGAGTTTACAAATAAATAGTTTCTAAAACATTATAAAGATAACAAGTACAGTGTATATTTAAGGTTTAAAGAATAGAAATACGACGAGTCGACCAGTCGAGATGGAATCGGACGCTTCTAGCCAAACACTCGTCGGACGAAGCCAAAGATATGAAGAAGGAAGAAACTTTAGAAATAAGAGGTAACTTTTATTGTAATAATAATATATTTATTAATATCTGCTTAGTTAAGACGGAATCTATTGAGACCTTATAAAAATTATAAATAAAAATATGTAAAACATGAAACAAAATTTATTCTATATTTGGGATTTTTTTTTACATTGGACCTATATACAATAAATACAATTAATATATATACAATTAAATATTATTGATCTTAAATGCATCAACATTAGATCACTGTAAATCAGTGTAGAAGCAATATTGCTTCTATTTTTATTGAGTGGTTCTCATTTTGGTTAAATTACACTGCTGTACACTTATTATTATTATTATTATTAATTTTTAATATTAATTTGTCCTGTTGAAGTTGTTATTTTATTTTCCTTTTTTGTAAACATAGGAAAAATGTTATTTTGCTTTTATTTTTTTGTTTTGTAGTGGTGTTCTTTTAACCGATAAAAGTTTATTATTATTATTAAATGCAATAGTAACTCACCAAACATGATGTAAATGAATGTTTTACAATAGGAATGAAGAATCTCCTACCAAAGAAAGATCAAGAAAAGTTATTGTTCAACAAGAGAGGCAAGATAATGTTGAACCTTGGAGGAAATGTACATTCAGTAAGACGAGTGACGTTAGATACTTGAGGGATGTGTCGAAGAAAATGAGAGAAGGCATTAGGAACTTGTCGAATCAAGTAATAATAAAGTTATTGTATTATTTATAATGTAAGCTTCTTCCTGTAAGCCAGTTTCTGCCTTGCATGTTGTGAATAGTTTTGGCTAATTGTCTTTTAACATCAACCCTGTTTGGGAATGCATTAATCAGTGATGTCTAAATCTTAGAAAGTACATTTGACTCGTTAAAATCACATTGGTACTTGCTAGAATCGAACCCGCGCTCTTATACATGACAGGCAGGCCTTTTAACCACTAGGCCACAACTAATTGTAAATAATGTCAGTTATTGTTATTTATTTGTATGTCCTGATTACAGTCGAATAATCAAACAGACCGAGTGTCGAGAGGCAGACAAGTGTCTTCATGTTTTGAACAGAGGAGTGTTGTCAATCAATGTGTTCGTATAAATTATTATTTTTCATTTTTCATTACAGGTCTTAAATATATATTTTTAACAATATAAAACAAAGCTAAGTCATTATAGCCGAAAACGTAGAGACATATATATACAGGGTGACTGGTGAATTACAATCAATATTTAAGGAGCATACTCGGTACATGATTCTCATTCGAATTATGTAAAAAAAATAGGTACTTAATTTTTGACCAAATTTCCGTATAAATAAATAAATAGTGTACACGTTCCAAGTGTTCCAAGTGTGGACGCGTGCGGCGGCGTGCTGATACAACACCACGCCGCCGCACGCGTATGTGTGTGTATGTGAGTATACCTAATCTGTAGGGTGTTCGCACGATGCGTAATTAATTACATAACTTTTGGTTAACTTAACTTAAAAGTTTATTAATATTTATGTTATATTAATTTTTATTTAGTCATATATGATCGTTAAATATCACGTCCTCAAGTATCGATAGTAATTCACCAGTCACCCTATATATATATATTTCATTTAAAATATTATGTTTCATCACCATGTATAGTCGGTTATTGAAGCTGAGTTCTGCATTTGTGTGAGTAAAAGTAAAAGTAGTTATACAAACAACTTTTAATATTAAATATTGTTATATTTTAAATAGATAAAGTTCGAGAGCTATTCGAGATTAAAGATAAAATAAGCAAAACTATGATATTATGAAAAAAATAACTAATTAATAAAATTTTTGAAAAAATTATAGAAATTCTTCTTCACTTGATATTGCGTTTTCAATATTTGATTTTGCTACCAGTACAAAGGGTGAAGTGCGGAAGGTGCGGGGCGGAGTAAAAGCAGAATAAACTGGTTAAAATCTAGAAAAGAATATTTCATTCAAAAATTTAACATCACACCTACACTATCCGTGTGTACTCACACAAATGCAAAGCTCATTTTAAATCAAACGCACTATATGTATGTAATGAGTACAATACTTTAGTATTTCCACATTCAAGTAAAGTATATAATTAACTTGTGATCTTGTTCCAGAGTACCAATACAGTGAATATGGAAATACAAGGTACATTTATCTTTTCTTGGTTTTAATCCTATTTTTGTCTATATTGGTGCAATAAAGAGTATATAAATAAATAAATAAAATAATATGTTAGGAGGCTACATTAATATAAATGTTGATTTTACTTGAAGTAACTTTATCTTTGTAATATTATTTCAGCGGCCGTGCAGATGGTGTCGCGAGAAGTAGTGACGGTAGCTGGAGACGCGCCGCCTCAGAGAACTGTGAGTGTGTATGTGTGTACTAGCTTTGGAAATTAAGTGACAAACACGTATACAAAACCAATATTATTATTATTAATCCGTAATCTTTATATATATAATTCTTCTGTGAGTGTGTGTCACTGAACTTCTCTCAAACGACTGGACCGATTTTGATGAAATTTTTTGTGAGTGGTCAAGGGGATCTGGGAATTGTTTAGATTCATAATTTTGTGTGCTGGACAATGTATATCTAATTAATTTTTAATTTATTAGTAGTTGTTGATACAAAACGTTCTTTTGAAAATAGATTTAACAGCTAATATGTAAAACAGGGAGATTTATGGCTTTAATAGGTAATCTCCAAAAATATAAATAAAAAACGTAACAGATATTTGTTGATTATAGGGCGATACGAAGTTCGCCGGGTCTTCTAGTAATATAATGTTTGTTTTGTCTCACTTGCAGGTCGCCGTACCACTAACGTCAAGTTCATCGTTGGCTGCGCAGCAGTCCGGCTCACAGAACATTGAGTTTAATAATATAAGACATATCAGTGAAACCGCTCAAACAAGACTTGACCCTGTGGACATAAATGTTCAAACAGTTTCAAGTGCCGTTGAAATAAGTCTTCCTAAGTTTAGACATCGGAAACGAAGCAAATCTCAGGAAGAAATAAGATTACAGGAATTGATGAAAGACGAGATTCTAGACTTGATGCTCCCTTTATATAACTGTGCTAAGACGAAGACTTCCCGTAAGTCTCAGAGACAAAATAAACACGCTTTCAGTTTTAAAATAAACGACGATAACCCTTCACACTTTAATACACGTCAAAGAACACTAGAATGTGGCTTTTCGAAAGCAGATAGTAAAATAATTAAAAGATCTCTCGCAAAAATCTTTCACGCTGAAGTGAATCCATATAAAAAAAAGAATGAAGACGCCTTAATGAAACTGCTAGAGGATTGGATAAATCTTATTCCGCTTAAAAGTGCCAACGCTATCAATATGAAGTACAACAAGGAATATTTGTTTTATAATCTCTTTGAATATTTAAAATATGCACTTTGTCATTTGAGGGGTTCCGAAGAAAGATTTAAATTAAAATCTGAAGTTATGAATAGACTCGAAACGATTCCTCTCGATTTTAAAGGAAATAGACGGGTTTTTGAAAATAGGTTGGCAGAGATTTTAGTAAATAAAATGAACAGAATAAGAAATAAACAAAATAATAAAGTTTTAGTAAATGTTGAGAGTGCTGAAGATTTAAAAAGTGTCAAGTCTGCTTTAAAAAGACCCGACTCCCCATCTAAGCGTGAACTCAAGTGTTTTGTTTTGAATAAGTTGACAACATTTCTCAGTAGATGGGAATTTAAATTAAATCAAAGAGAAATAAAAGAAATCGAGGATGAATTGATGGAACTATTATTGGTTTCTAAAGACTTGATAAATTGCTCCAAAGATAAACATGTTAAAATGAATATCACAGAACTTCTAATGGATTACGGAGTCTCGGAAGACCGAGCCACTATATTTTCTAATAGTTTGTTGAGGAACTTTAAAAATATTTATATAGATAGAATAGGACCGGAAAAAATACGTTCCGAGACGTTCATCGTACTATCAAATACAAAAAATGTAACAACGAATGGCAACAAGTTTAGAATTCAAAGGAATAATGAGGATAATGTTGGGGCCAATATAGAGAGCTACACTAACGAGCTGTGTCATCAGATAGACGAGTGGCTTACAAGCTTACCGATATCACTTCCACAAGATAAGGCGTTTCGGCAAGTTGTTATAAACGATCTAGCAGGTGATATAGTGGACAGGTTGAGATACATCGACCTCAACCCAGGGTCGAGAACTTCTGATGAAGCAGAACTGGAGCATTTGAAATATCAGATATTTAAATGGATAAATAAACTCGTAGCAGAAGATAATTTGGAAATTACAAAACATGCGCCCGACCTAATGCGACGTATCAAAGACATACCAGTTCCGATACTCTCGAGAATGTATGATTTGAATTCAACGAAAGTGAGCAATAAAAAAAATGCTGATATAAATAATAACAGAGCGACATCATCAAAACAATTCTCCAATATGCCTCAAGATCAAATTCTGTTCAATGTTACTCAAGAGAGAGTCATGAATCCAAGTTCAGCCAATAACGAAAGTAGACATTCAAATCCAGATACGACAAATCCTTATGAGAAATCAATACAAGAACTGGAAAAAGAATATGAACAATATGTAAAAGATTGGGTTAAATTAATACCGATAGAAACAAAAACACCAGAAGAAGAAGCTATAGCAGAAAAAGCTAGACTTGGCATCCATAATGGCTTGTGGAAAGTTGTTTCCAAATTAAATTGCGATCCAGCGACCTACTACAACCGTTTCTTTTACCAAGATCTTTTGGATGAAGGAATAGAAGATTTATTAGATTGTTTACCGCAAATTCCTGAACTTTTACAAAAAAAACATATTCTTAAAGCGAGATTTATAGCGAAAACGACAGACATCAACGATAGGATAGAAGCAAACGAAGAAGCTTCTTATAAATATAACTTGATAAAAAATATCTTTAATAACTTGAGACAACAAGGACTGACGAATTTAAAAGGAGACGATCCGTTAAAAATACATCAGGATATGCAAGTGAAGAAACTTGTCGAAGAATTTCTTTTATGCACGAATTATGAAAACGAGGATAAAGTGCAGGCGCAAATATACAAGAAGAAATTGTTAAAACATATAGATAACTTTATCGAGGATCTAAAAAAACACCACCCGCAACAGTTGAAAGACGTTGACCTCTCTTCTTATAAAACAGATATAATTAATATGTTACTTAAAGTACGAGTACCTTGTGAGCAAATTATAAAACAGGAAGCGGACAGTATTCTACTGGACCTCGAAATTGAACAATGGTATAACGATTTACCCGTCGTACCGTGTGAAGACTTTAAAGAACAGTGCCACAGAAGCAAACAACGTGAGCTATTGGCAAATAAAGTGAAAGAGTTTGAAAAACATAATAGTCAAATGACAGAACATGATTTACGTATCGAAGTGTCGAAGTTCTTGGAAAATACACCTTTGAAAGAAGGAGAACAATTAGACATTGCTTTTATAACAGAACAGTTTGTTAACAGAATGAGAAACAGGCCGAGACAGCACCTGCCTACAAATAGACTAGAACATGGAACTATACCTAATTATGAAGATTTTAGTAAAGAAATATCATTTTGCTCCAGTTTCATCAAGCCAGTTATAACTCAGGAGCCACAAGATAATATGAACAAATCAAATCAATGCACAAATACATGCAGCGGACAAGCGGCCAACGCTTCATTAAACTTCTCCCACGCTAATGTATCATCTAGACTACAGACGAATAAGTCTCGCGTCGTAATACAAGAACCGCCGGCTTACAGAACGTTCAATGAAGGCCGACCACTCAGCTCCTCGTTTTATCCAAACGAAAATAGTCCACAGTGGTTATCGTTAGAGGAAAGTCGACCTAATATACAAAACATACAAAACCCACAATACATACATGATGGAAATATGATGACCATTCCGCCTTGCTGTATCCCTGAACAAGTTAGACCGCAAGTGAATTTCAAAACGGCTTCAGATAATGATCAAATGTTTAATAAAGAACAACTGTATCCACTCAACAATGAAAACAGATATTCTGAAAGAACTAAATCATCTAAAGGTATCCTAGGTACCAGCCAGATCGCGGGCCCGAGTGGCTACAGTGGAAAGACATCGCAGAATGTGAATAATATTATGAAGCCTAATACGTGGGATGGAAACTCTCAGCTTGTTCGAAGATCGGACGCGTCAAAGACTCAAATACATACTGAACAAGCGCCTCAATTAGACGAATGTTCTATATCGTGTCAAACTTTTGGGAATAATAAGTCTGGATTACAAATAGGTGGAAATAAATCGCATGTAGCCACTAATACTTCGGAACGTAATAAGTGTTGCGACCCATCCCTGTATACATACAAACCTCAAGGAGTTCCCATCCCTGACTTATCAAATAACAGGAGAGTGAGCCAGCTCGTACAGGGTAGAGATGACGATGATGAAATTCCATGTCGTTGTATCGAAAGATTATGGAAAAGACCCAAGCGCTACCCATGCGAAGCTTTAGACAACTTCCCGCCCTGCCTCTCCTTAATGTTTCCATACCCATATTTCTTTTAAGTTTTCCACACCCATATTTCTTTTAAGTTGCATCTCCTTAAATTACAAGATTTTGCTATAATTTTTTTTTTGTTGTATGTGTGTATTATAACTCTCTGCATTAATAAATTAACATGTATGTATGATTTTGTAATTTTTGTGAAAAAATACTTGTATTTCATTTATGCTCGATTTTCATACATATTCATTTTTTTTCATTGATATTTGTTTCGTTAATAAAATTTATGAAAACATGAACCAAGCTTTTTGTTGATAGTAGTAAAGACCCCGGTTTTATTTTAATGAATATTTATTAAATTGTACTGAAGTTATATTACTCGATGTGGTTTATTGAAAAGTTATATTTAGGAATGTTTTTCATAAAAAAACAATTTTAGTTTTGAGTTTGTTTGTTTAGTCTGTTGTTATAACTTTAATTCTTAAAACTTTCTATCATAAAATGGGGAAATGAAAGAGTACATAATAAAAAGAATAAATTCTTTTTAAAATCAAATTTGCTTTGGCCGTTATAATTTATATTCTGTTTTTTTTTTACATTAAAATGTGCATCCGAGGAATAGGTATAAGAAATTTAAAAAAAAAAAAAATTTTCTACTTTATTTTCTTTGAGGTATTTAAATGCACCGAAGTTACCTGCAAAACTAAAATAATGATGAGATTAGTTTTTATTCGAGTCGATATATAATTTTGTAATATGTTCTATTCAATCATACTTGTACATTGTACATACATTGTAACACTAGCTACGCTACAGCTAGCTAGCTAAGCTATATAGCTTCGTGTAATGATGTCTTATTGCATTAGATATATATTTTAATTTAAAGAAAGACCATATTAATATTTAAGGACACCGTCAACAATAGACATCTCAAAACCATTTTATTCGCCATATAAACCATTTTATATAATAGAAACCCATTTATTTAGATATAGTGTTAATGTTACTTTGCAGCAAGCGTGATACTGGAATGACGAAGATGTCTGTCAGTTGGTTTTATTATTTGTGGATTTTTATGAGGATGTTCCATTCATTATATAAATTCCAGCCATCTTCTCTACTCAAAATGGGATGAATATAATATTTATAGCAAAAATATTAGATATTAACTAGTGTATTAACCATTGATTATTAAAGAAAGTTGACTAATATTATATAAAACATCTATTTACGGTTCAGTGAGTAGGACCATTGAAGAATGTGATTATAATAATCTCCAGAAATACAGGAATATTGGTAATTCCTGATCCATATCAATAAAATAATCTTCAGGAGAACCGACGTAATGAAGAACACTCGTTAGTCTTTCATGTAATGTCAATGTCAATAATGTCAATAATGCAGAGCGTGAAGAAACGTTTGCTACTAAAAAACTAAGATAATATTAAAACTACTGAGAAAATCATCCTAATTTTTATTATCTCTTGCCTAGGGTGGTACTGTGTGTAATCAAATTTGATTTCACGATTACTTTAAATGGAGTTGAAGTTTGCAAGTAAAAACTTTTTATATTTTATGAATTTAATAAATTAGTATTGAAATTATAATAATATTATTAAAATAATAGTTTTTAACAATAGGTATATATTCATTAGATCTTTGAAACGTTTCCAATTTGATTAAATTTTATAGTTAAAGGATTTAGAGAGCGATAAATTAATGTAGCCAAGTTGAATTTTTTAGGAAATGTTGTTTAACCATTTTTATATTTTGTATATACATATGTACATATATTTAGTTAATTTCTACTTTATATAAGCAAAACTCCAGGAAAGTATTATATCTATTGTCAAGTAGTAAGACGATTGACAACCGTTACCTGCTGGTTATTCTGTGCCCCAACTTATACAACTGAACTGTTTACTGACAGTCACACAAATATTTTAAATAGCTCTCAGTCACTTAATGTGTGTTTCAGTTTTTCATATAGATAACACATCTTCAATATCCTTTACCAGGTTCTCATAATATTCGAGTAAAGTTTTGTTATATGTATGTATATTTGTTTGCAACTCACAATCTCTGCTTATAAAAACGATGTCGGCTCTTCTATGTAGTTTAGTTAATTTCATTTACCTGTTAATGTTTTTGTTACATATTCTTATACGAGTATATAAAAATGTAGTTAGTGAGTGATGAAGATACCTAACGCACGAAGAAATACATATATAAATTGTGGTGACTATGGACTTTTCCAGTACATATTACAAATAAAAAGACTTGTGTATATATCGGAATGTATGGAACGAATGAAGCGCGTTGTTAAACTGAAACACGCGAGCGGAGACCGGAGTCAGAAATAGAATTATTACTGAATCATTTAGTATTACTTTATTTAATATAATTACCTTAAAATCTTTTATTAAACTTTGCCACAAAAACAAAGATTATATAGTTTCGAACTAGTTTATACCCGCGACGTCGCCTGATTTGTTTGAACTTTTCGTATGTTACGGAAACGACTGCTCACGTTATTATCTCTAAATAAAATGAAACTATTTTTACTTCTATTTTTTTTTTTGATAAAACATATGTATATACTATTAATAGTTATTGAGTAAACTAGTACTTGTAGTATTTTATTAATATTGTTTCGGTCGTAATATGTATGACACGATAAAGGCGTCTGTTATCTTCAATGTTTTAATAAAAAAACCGACATTCAAATTCCCAGTGAGTCATACTCTTTCCACGTTTATAATTATAGTTATCTGTTATCACAGTATTACATAAAAAAATAAACGTATATAATTAATTTATCGTTCAAGGACAAGTTTTGTGAATGTTTCGCTTCCCTTGATCTTGGAAGGGGAAAAGGATGGGGAGGGAAAAGGAAAGTTACTGAAGGAAAGTTAATATGAATGAAACTATTAACTCCTGATGTGTTGTGTGTCATTTACAGTAATTGTTTGTTTCTTACGAAATAAATATATTTGTTTCATATTTGATAATTTTTAGTAAAGTATGAATGTTTTTTTTTTGTTTTTATATTGTATTACAAAGTTTTCAAAGACAACACTGACTCGCCAGCTGCTTCAAATACATTTAGAGCTCTGTAAAAGATCTTTGTTTTAAAATACAAAACAATTAGAAAAATCATTCGTACTACGAGTACATATGAGAAAACTATAAGCAATTTTACATAGTTTCGATAATTATCCAAAAGCCAGTTATAATTATTTTTTTATTTAATCAGTAGTTTATAAAACTAAGAGCAGACTCTCGAATATTTTTGATATGTTGATAAAGAAAGGAATTATAATACATAATATATTAAGATGTTCGCACATGATTTGTAAAATGTCGGGTCTAGCAGACTTATACTTAACTTTATTAACTGTTTATTATCTTGAAAACTTCGTCAAATATCTGTCTAATTCTAATTTTGTACATGAAAAGTATTTCTCGTTTTCGTATGAAGGTTAATGAATGATAAACTGTTAACGCTACGTGTGTAGTGTGACGATGTACACTAAGAATAAACATACTGTTGTTGCTTCTAAGAATATACAAGGACTGACGTTTTATGTTTCTGTAGTTCGTTCCTTTTATATATGTATTAATGCCATGTTGGCTACTCTATATAAACTAACTTCATATCACTAAAACAAAGTTGTTATTTCTTCTAACATCTTATTATATTTTTAATATTATGATATTTAAATTTGGTCAAGTAACTTTATAAAATGATGACATTACGTTTTTATCAACCTGATCGAGTCATGAGGTGATAGAATCTAGTATAATAATATACCAGGCGCTAATATGATAACTATAGTTACATCAAAATATGTTTTCGCTGAAGTCTTTCATGACAATAATGTTATTGAGACATTTCTCTTGAATGTGTTTTAAAGTGTATAAACTTTTTTCTCAATTGTACGCACTAAAATAATATTAATTCCATAAATCAGACATTGTCATTATAATACAAGTGATTTTTATTTTTTTACGATAATATTTTTCACCTCCATACAACCATAATCTTGTTTTTTGAATTAAAATTGAAATAAATATTTTATAAGTGAGGTGGCGAGTTAGAAATAAGAATCCTGCTCTGGGATTCGAAATTTTAATTATATCATTTTGTTCATTTTTAATCACGTTTTATATTTATTAAGCCACGAACGAACATTTAAATTAAATATTTATCAATAAATGTTGTGTATTTCGAAATCATTTATTCAAAATTCCATTTAATAATCCTGAATCATATCGATTGTGTTATAAGAGCTGTCAACGTTTATTTTGTATAATATGTCTAATCACACAAGATGTTGTCACAAGTAGAGGCGGCTGGTGCTGGCATCGGTAGGAGGTCGCCGTTCAAGAGGATAGACAACTGTAAGTAGGCCGTGGTTGTAGGACCAGCTGCCGTGTTCATCGACATAGTCGGGCAGGGCGCTCACGTGCTGGTAGTCGTTCAGCGGACGAGCGGCCCGCACCACTAGGAGTCCCTTCTTCGACTTCACTGATATGTCCTCTGTATTAAACCCTGGCATCTCGATATATACCCAGTATTGATCACCGACGATCTCTGTGCGAGTCTGCTGCCTCAGTTCTTTATTTAAGTTATCCATTTGTTTGTCGTAATTGTCCCACCAGTTGTCGATGGCTTCAATGTTGTAATCATCGCCACGCCACAGTCCGTGCCGCTCACCTGTCGCCGACCACGTCACTACACATAACATTACTATACTCCTATATAACATGGTCGCCCTTCAGCTCTATAAGTATAATAAACTGTTTTTAAGATTCGGTGGTTATATAAGCTCTGTGGGTCAGAGTTCATCCATCTCCTTATCATTGTAACTCATACTGTGTTTATATTAATACTAGTTTTTGCCCACGACTTCGTCCGCGCTAGTTTGGTCAAGAGTAATATATGTAGGTATAGCTGACCAGTCGAACTCTATTCCGTCTTACAGGCCATAAATAATCAGGTTTTTCCTGTTTCAATCAAACAGAATTGACATATTAGTTAGTTGTCAAATCTAATGTAAAAAAAAACGTTTGTATGGGAAATAGAAAAGGGCTGTTTTTAGGATTTTCCCGACAATTATTCCAATTTTTCTCACCTTTTAAACCTTCCCTGGATTTTCAGGAGTATTTCAAAACTAAAATTAGCCAAATCCGTTCAGCCGTTCTCGAGTTTTAGCGAGACTAAGGAACAGCAATCCATTTTTATATATTTATATAGAAGATTATAAAGAGGAATACTTTGTTTCGTTATAACTGGCTTGTGGCGGCCAAGCGTTCATAGCGACGTTGCTTTTTGATCCTTCGATGTCGGCTCTTCCTATCATTGCGCAGCAAAATTCGCCAAGCGTTGGATTGTTCAGCCATCAAAAGGGAACGTGAGCTGTGTTTAGACCGTCGCGTCGTGAGACAGGTTAGTTTTACCTTACTGATGGCTCGTCGTCGTACTGATGAACCGCAGTTTCAACATTTGATTCATGCACTCAACCGAGCGGCCGGTGGTGCGTAGCTATCATCCGCGGATTATGCCTGAACGCCTCTAAGGTCGAAGCCAGCCCAGTCGACTCCGGCAAGGATACGCTTACTGTGGAGCTCCGAGAGTCGGGAGGCTCACACGTCAAACTGGGAGACGAGTTCTTTACTTGGACCAAGAGGGGACGCACCGCGGACGACGTGGCGTTAGTACACACACTCACACACACAGACTTAGACGATACACCTCATAACCTTCAGAACATCTATCTATCTATCTAGATACTATCGGTTTTCAAATATTAATTCGGTTGCACTGATTTTGATGAAAATAATAGTTCCGATTGTTTAAAGAGTCACCTAGTTCCCTAAGATGTGTTTATGTTTTTAAAAATAAATACTACGACGGAATATTTCTTTTATAATACTTTAATTGTAACTATTTTTTTCTGATTGGTACACAAATAAATAAATAAATAAATAAATAAATAAATAAATAAATAAATAAATAAATAAATAAATAAATAAATAAATAAATAAATAAATAAATAAATATTGTTTTATTAGTCACCTTTCGAATGTTAAACGATTGGACCTCCAATATTTATTAGTGTGTGTGGAAAACAGAGAATAAATATACTTTGATATATTGGTTGATGATGCAGGGTCATAGTTAGAGAAATATTTACCTGTTACTCGCTCTTTTCTTCAATCATGCTACCACTAGATTAAACCCTAGACTCTGGACAGACTTTCATGGAGCTATTGACATGGTCAGCGCTCATCGTAGACACAAATAAATAATAATATGATTCAATTATCGCCTATTTATGGTGATGGTTAAGTAATTGCCATGTATGGTATGAAAATGAACCAGAGCTATCATATTGTGAGCCTTTTTCTCATTCTATTCTAGCATATATTGGAGGTTTAGCTTTGCCGCCCAATTTTAAAGATAGCCTCTATGTTTGCAGAGATCTATCAAGGTCTGACTCCACCAGTTTTAAATATGACTATGCTGACTGTTTAAGTAGATAGAGTTGTCCAAGTGAGACTGCAATTCAAAACTTAAATAAAAATAGGTAAAAAAACTTTTTAAGTTAAATGGTTTTACGTGAAATATACATTGCAATGTTTAAGATAAATGTACTAAAAACCAAAAAATAATAAAATAGATACAGTCGTGGGATAATAATATTTATAGTGGCTTCTACTTTTAATATATATAAATAGCCATGTATAGTTAAATAGTCTTAATGTACGGAGACTTTTATTAAATACTGTTATATATATTTCTTGTTATTTGGAACATAACCATAGTTAGTACATTACTATGTATACTATGTAATGCTTATTAGCGTTAAAAATGCTTTATAGACTATTGAATGGTATTTTTTTTTGGAATATATTATCCATATGTAGTAAGATGTGAGTAATGCATTCGATGAACCGAACGCACTCCTTACAATTTAATCTTAGTAATACATACATTCAAACACCTGGATCTTGACTTATGTGATCAGCTTTTAATTGCTTAATAATAAATATAAGGTTAAGTTTGTTTTTTGAATAAGAATTCTAATATCTCAAGTATATTAAATGCTTCTACTTACTTTGTTAGGCAGACCCTGGCTATAGCTGGGAAAAATTGCCAGGTAGAAGAAGAAGAAGAAGATTAAATGCTTCTACTTAAGGAAGCTTATGTGACGAAAAAAGTGTTTATGAACTTACGAGAACGTACCGTTTCTGATGTTTCATGATTTTCAGACGAACTTCTTCTCTTTATAATTACTTCAGTTCTAATGATAGGATAGGATAGGAGACAGAAATCTTTTGTATTTCTTATTTGTTTCAGCGTCTTGTTCAGCAGGACGGTATTACAATACATTTGTCATACATACATCTCTGTTTAAAATATCTTTCATGTTCAAGTTGTGTTTGTGACTAGTCGATGTTTGCTGATGTTGCACTCTATTCGTCATAGATGAGGGGTAACCTGATTAAAAGAGTTCTTTAGATCTCTTATGTTTTGGAAAGTGAGACAAATTTTAAAGCTACGTATCAATAACAATGGACAGATATGAGTTCTAATAGCAAATTCAACTCATCTAAATATTGTTCCAACGTTTTTTTTAAATAATTCAAATAAAACTTAACATACATATGAAGAAGTGACTCAAGTTGGAAGTTTATATTTCCTTTGTCTTATGACAAGCCAGGAGTGATTCTTATTGAATAAATCACAAGAATACCAGAAGCTCACCGATAGATAATTCTAAAAAGTATTGGTAATATTTAAGAATTGGCTCCTGGAACCGATGATTACAGTTAAATTATATTAGAAATCAATACAATTATTACAGAAATATAAGACAATGAAGATTTGGATACTAGAGATCTTTTAAAACGAAGTTATTTTGAATTAAATTATCTGAAATTACATACATGTTGTTTCCGTTGCGATAAATTAAATACGTTTAGTTTTTGTGAACCCGGACGAGAAGTCGAGATGAACTCAACACAACATATTAATGTTATAATTGATGATATTAACAGTTCTAGTTTGTTGACTTGATTCACGGAGCCTTCATATAGGGGTGTAGACGCTGGCTCTGGCAAGTTGACGCTCAATACTCACGCTATGGTCATCTCTCTGTACTACACATACTTTGTTTTTATTGAGTTTTTGTTGTGTTTGTGAATTATGGATGGACTCAAAAGGTTTGTGACATTTATGTGTTTATTGAATATTGTAAATTACTAGTTTACTTAGCAATACCAAGTTAGTATTACTTATCAATACAAGTTAAGCTTTTTGTTTAAGTTCCGAGCTCTTTACTTTTTTTTTTTTTGATTTAGTTTATTCTTATCTTTTTTTTTTCAAAATTGATTAAACAGTTTCTTTATTATGTTCCCTTGAAGTCGTCCAAATAAAAAATTACTTCGTCTGTTTAATTCATTCAGAAATTATTATTTTTTATATGTATGTATTGTAGATATCGTATAGGTATAGTCAAGCAGTTTATGGCCGTTAGTTACTAATATATATATCGGACCGGGCAAACTCTATTATGCCCTAGAGGCCGTAAATAACGAGACATTGTAATTTACTTATTTCTTTTTCTGTTTTAATCGAACATAATTAAATATTCTATGTCCGTCTCCTGGTTCTAAACTACCTTCCCGCCAATTTTCAAACATATCTCAAATCCGTTCTGGACTTATAAATAGCGTAGCTAGCACAACTTTCTGTTATGTATAAAGATTTGATACAATATATTTTATAACTTAATCCATAAAGTCATAGGATTAAGTATGAAAACTGACCATCTCGTTGTCTCGCTGTGCAAACCTATCACCCTATCATTGAAGAAGCCTTTGAGAAACTCGATGATCTACACTACAGCATCAGTTTTCCAACTCCAACTAAAACTCATTTATCCTGTGGACAAGATTCATATCGCACACTACACGGCAGCTATCTCGTTACAATTCCTCAATCATGTTATATTGAAACTCCGCAATTTACTTTAACAAATGCCGATAACCGGGTACAAGGACAAGCGGTGAGAATAATGGACCTGCCCAGCTACAGCGTCACCACAGCCTCAGCACCTAAAATCAACCTAAACTCTATCAGTTTGAAGCACCTACATGAAATTGACACTAAGGTCGGCTTACAACCATTGCTGACCCTAGATAACCCTGAAGCAGTGGCGGCTGGTGGGTTATCGAACTGGTGGTGCACTTTAATAAAATATTGAAATTAGAAAATGCAACAAAAAACCAATTTACATAAAATATGTTTATTTTTTAAACATTAAATCAATGCGACGACATTTTTATGAAGCGAAATGTTTAATCACCTTTTTATTAAAATCGGGTACTGTTTATATAATTATTTTTTTCAATACTAAGCATAGAAAGTGCATTTAGCAAGTGCATGGTATTTCGGAGAAAAGTTTTGATTCAATTCCAATTCGTCATACATCGGGTGCTCTCGGTAATCTTCGGCCGCTCGTGCGGCGCTCGAGAACCGACTCGTTACTCGGTACATTTCTATGAATTATCTTTTGTTTCACGCGTCAGGCGTATTAATGCGTATCTCATACAAGATGTATTAGCAGTTCTCGTGCCCTCGCCATAGCGCACGAGATATTAGTTTAGTAAAGCGCACAAACTTTTTGACTATAATTAGAAATTTAATTTTTTATACGTTTTTCTATGTTTAGGAAATAAATATTAAAATGGTAATTTAAAAATAAAGATGAAGTAATATTTTGTAATTTTTAAAACTTTTGAATTGGTGGTTCAGCGCACGAATGCACTTAAGGTACAGCCGCCACTGCCCTGAAGACAACCAGATGGAATTGCAAGCAGTCTACACCATCCCCACACCTACCAGAAGGGTCGACCTCAATCAACCCCCAGCTCAATTCACAACTAAAGTTCCTCATATTCGCTGATCTTCAGGAGGGAGGTGTTATGTGACGGTGTAATAAGTGGTCGTTTAATTAAAATATAATTATCTTTATACGGTGTAATCAGAGGACGCCTTAGGTTCTGGGTAAACTCGGCTATTCTACACCGGTCTGACTCAGCAGTTCCGTGTGAAGACAGTTTTTGGTTTTATATTTCTTTTATGTTTTTAGATTATAAGATTTCTTTTAAGAATTTGATTAAATTAATGTCACTATTTATTCAACCTTCGTGCAACATAGTCACACCCTAGTTGTAACTTACTTTTAATTAAATTAAGTCAAATAATTTTGGTTTCATTGCATCCACCGACCGTCGAAATCATAATTTGTTACTATTTATTATCTTCAAAATTTGTTACTATTACTATTTATTTCTGTCACGGTTGTGTTTATTTTAAACATAATTTTCATGAACGTGTAATGAAATCAAGAACACAGATTGTTGTTTACAGAACGACCTTTTGAGTTAAAGAACATTGAGCATTAGTTAATACAAACATTCATAATTGATTTTTAACGTTATAATAAAGGTAAAAGAAAATGGATATCAAAAATTGATTATTAACAGATCGGAAAACAACGTAATATACAGGGTGACTGGTGAATTACTATCAATATTTAAGGAGAATACTCGGTACATGATTCTCGTTAGAATTATGTAAAAAAATAGGCACTTAATTTTTGACAAAATTTCCGTATTAATAAATAAAATGATGACACGTTCCAAGTGTTCCAAGTGTGGACGCGTGCGGCGGCGTGCTGATACAACACTACGCCGCCGCACGCGTATGTGTGTGTGAT